TGTCTCTCTCTCTCTGTCTCTGTCTCTCTCTCTGTGTGTGTGTGTGTGTGTGTGTGTGTGTGTGTGTGTGTGTGTAAGTCAGGATAAATTTGAAGTCCTCTTCTCCTTCATCTCCTGCTTTAATTTCCTCTTGAGAGTCATGGGTTCGGTGCATCTATTTTTATAATTCCTAATACATTCTCGAGGAACACGGCTAGAATATTGTCGGTTTCCTGCCTCTTTAAACTTGCATAAATGCCGTGATCCGCGTTTGTCTTGCTTCCTAGCTTTTCTGTCAACCAGGAAGTGTGTTTCCTTCACTCAGCCTTGTTTTTGAATCTGAATGTCAGTTGTGACTGTTAAGGACATGTCGCTAGCCTTGTTTCTGCCTGGCAGGATCCTGGCATCAGACACCCGAGGCTGTGAATGGCATCCATGCATGGAAAGCTCTGGCAACAAGTTCTAGGAAAGTAGTTTTTATTTGAACTCCTTTTAAAGAATTTCCCGAGGTACTCCAGCCAGGGCCTTGGTCAGAAGCCCACTTGTGACTGTGGTCAGAATGTGCCACCATACCAGCTCCTTTCACACACAGGTGTGTCATCAGAGCTCAGTGGCTAAGCAAATCATCATGAAGTAAGAAAGCAGTGCCCTCTGCACAAAACCCTCACAGACCTTGGAAGGGCTCTTCTTGGCTAGAGAATTAGTCTAGACCAGTGGGGTACCAAGTAGTGGACCAAGGACAGGGTGATGGCAGGGTCTTACCTGAAGGCAAAGGGCGATGCAGAGTCTGCAGAAAATTTAAAAAGATAGGCATAAAGGCCGGGCGGTGGGGCACGCCTTTAATCCCAGCACTCAGGAGGCAGAGCCAGGCAGATCTCTGTGAGTTCAAGGCCAGTTCCAGGACAGGCTTCAAAGCTACACAGAGAAACCCTGTCTCAAAAAAAAAAAAAAAAAAAATAGTCATAAAACCAAGGATGAATCAGTCTCCTTTTCCATTTTTATTGTCACTATGTGGCAACTGTAATGGTAAACCTTTTCTTTCTACAAATACCCTTTGTTGGTCTAACATCGAAAGAACTGCTGTGTACTGTTTGTGTGCATATTAGTGTTCCAATTTTTATTACATATTCTTTAATAAAGATTTATTCTTCATGAAAGTTAACTTAAAGAATTTCCCATTAATTAGTTAGCTCCCATCATACAAGGATCCACAGTACCTTTCTGTTTTGTTCTTCCGGTCTTTTGTTATTGTTGGTGTTGTTAATGTTTATTGTTGTTTTGTTGTATGTTTGAGTCAGGGTCTCATGTAGCCTGGGTTGATACTGAATTCTTTATTTTTCTGCCTTCCCTCGGTGAGCGTTGGGATTACAGGTGTGTACCACTACCCTTAGTTTAACTTGTATTCTATATTAGAGATAAGTTCACCAAGAGTACCTCCCCCTACGGTCACCACTCTGAAGGCAGCAGGACCCAGGAGAACAAAGCTAATATTGAGGCAGACTAAAGTCACATGCGATAGGCAACTTTATTCAGAGCCCCTCACAATTTGTCCTCTGAGGGTTAAGAATGGTCCCATGAGTAAAGTTCTTATGTGTTCAAGCTGTATACAATCACAAGGACAAGCCACATGTGACAAAAACATGCTGTGCCATAGAGGCGTAGACATTTAATTGAGTAACAACAGCAGCAGTGAGGAGTAGTCTGAAGTAAACTCACTCCTATCGGCTACACTTGGAAGGAGTGCAAAAAACACATTCCAAAAACAATTCCTGAGGCCACAAGACTCTTGTTTTCTCTGGAGTGTCCTAACAAGCACTCAGAATTCCCCTTATACGACTCCATTCCTGGATTGGGTTCTGACACCCCACCATCATGGATTCTCCCTGTTTATTTTGGTAAGCCAAAATAAAAATAAAAAAATAAAAGATTTGATTTGGACCTGACTGCTGCGGCACCTCATGGTCTCCCTTTTAAACAGGGTTGCAGAGAAAAGGAAATAGAATTAGAAATCTTCAGTTCTGTTGTTCTGTTTGGCCACTGGGAGATTCTATCTTTAAAACATAAGAGCGTGAAACCGTGCAAAAAATGTCAGATCTGGTTCTTTCTTTCTTTGTTTGTTTCTTTGTTTGTTTCTTTGTTTCTTTCTTTCTTTCTTTTTAAAGATTTATTTATTTATTATGTATAAAATGTTCTACCTGCACTTATGCCTGCACACCAGAAGAGGGCACCAGATCTCATTACAGATGGTTGTGAGCCACCATGTGGGTTGCTGGGAATTGAACTCAGGACCTCTGGAAGAGCAGCCAGTGTGCTTAACCTCTGAGCCATCTCTCCAGCCCCCAGATCTGTTTTGTTTTGTTTTTTTTTTTTTTTTCAATTGGTCCATGCAAACTTGAATTGTAAGTTGTTACTGAATTTGAGTAATTATTTTTCAGGGGTAATGAGTTCAGCTAATTTTTAAAAATTACAAACCAAAGGATAATTCAAGTAAAATGAAACACTAAATCAGTGGTACCATTGCACACTGCCAGGCACTTGTAAAAAACAACAAACAAAACAAACAAACAAAACCCACAGAACTTAAGACTTTGTTTGGTTGGCATTTTCCATGGCAGAGTGGTCAGATATGCCCAGGTAAGCCAATAACGGTGAAATAAACGACTCAGTTTTGAGTTCCTTTTGGAAGACTGTCATAGGATTCCAGAAGAGACACTTGAAACTGTGATGATGAGACACTGAGAGAGATGACTGAAAGACATGATAATCCGTAGTGCTCAGAACCACAACAAAGCCGAAGCTGTGACAGATGCATTTGTGTCAGGCAAAGTCAAAGGCTCACAGTCCTCCTGCTCACAGTCCTGCTCACA